TTGACAATCTGATCTGCTCTGATCTGAAATCAGAGATGGAAAATAACACATACCTGTATGAAAATGCTAATAAGAAATAAAGAATTTGAACATGGCTAAGCTTTTGCCAGATTAAACTTCAACCATGGAGCAGTCTACCAGCCAATCTGGCAAAAAAGTGGTTTGAATCCAACAACAGAACAAGGAAGACAAAAACAGTGACTTCATCGGATTAGTAGTCGTGCCAGACCAAGGTGGATTCATTTGGGGTTTTTTTGTGTGTAGAGAACCTGCTTTTCTGAACTGATGAAATCCCACAACTTGATAGTCAACAACTGGCTTTGGTTAAGCTTGATTGATTATTGGGCCTTCCTGAATACAAAACAAACTTCAACAATGAATACTTCAACAGAGATAAAAACAAATAGAAAAAAAATTTGGCAGGAGCCAACATGACTATGACTGAGGCATCAAAACATGGCAGCGGTTAAGCTAACAAACCACGTGGAATGACTTGATAAACCCCTCACCCGCCCTTAAATTCACCTCGTCAACAGTCAGGGGGGAATTCAGGCAAGGCAAGCAAAGAAAGCAAGGAAAATATAAAACGCAAAAACCAAACACAACATTCTGGCATTAAAAAAAGAATACTGTAAAAAAAAAAAAAAAAAAAAAAAAAGTACCATTTTAAATATTGATAACCATGGACAGCAAACATCCACAATATCAGCAATTGTGTAAAATACAACACACCATCCTCTTATATAAGCATAAGAAAAACACCATTAGATATTTCATTCAGCAATTATGGATTCACAATTATGGCAGATGAGTAGTGCACAGAATCGCAAACAGGCAAAGGAAAATTGTTCAGGTCACTGGATTGTTTCAACTTAAAAATTATAACTTGTAACCAGTGGTTATGCCATTAAGTTCAACTGCGAAATGGTCCTTTTAAAATCTTTCAAGGGGCTCAATCAACACAGTCATCTACACTACAGGCAATGCAGGCAACACCATGGACCATACCATTCCTCCTCTCTAACATCGTATAAAAGGAAAAACAGCAATAATGTGGGGCAAATGCGCATTGTCTGCCTGGAAAAATGTACCTACTAACTAAGCAGATATCTTTCTGCAACAAATAAACCAAAATTACAGGCCACCAGCAAAGCCTGGATAATTGCAGAACAATAAAACCGCAATACATGTATATGACTGTAATCCATAAAGTGTCATTTATCAACAAGTGGGTTTGCAGCACAAAAAAAGCAATTAAGTCACTGCTGGTTTCACAAGTGTGCGCCCAAGCATCCTCTAGATTTGTCTGAGAAGTAAACGAGCATTCAGAAAATTATTCCGCCTCAATGCCCACAGACGTCATTTGAAATACATTCTTTGTTAATTGCTTTGGCAATTTGTGTGCATCACTTAGAAAAGTCAAGACCCCTGCCAGATTATATGCCTTAAACCATAAGGCACAAAAAGCCAATGGAGGAAGAGATGGCTGCAGAACAACAATAATAACAGTAATAATTGCTAAATTATAATTACTAAAATACACATTATTTACAGTGAGTCATCAAAGCACCACATTTAGAAAAACTGAACTCATTTCTGAATAGGTCAAATGAACTTCTGAATGATGATAAAGTAATCTGTGGTTTGGTTGGGGGGGGGGGGATTCTGTGTCTCGGCTATGGTTAGAACAGCATTTCCTTTCTCTAGCCCAATCTAGGTACAAACAGACATTTAAAGGGCCTTATACATCCAATCTTAAATATCATCAAGTTGCATATAATTATGTGGCTGTTTGAACAGGGTCATTTAAAGTTGCAACTCATCAAATGAGCTGTCTCTGCCAATACAGAAGCTCTTGTACTTACGATTGAGATATGTTCTGAATGGCCGTTCGTAACTTGAAATGTTCGCAAGTCGTTATTCAACACCATTTTAAGGATATATGCAAGTACAAAGAACGAAAATGCTGGGAGTACGTACGCTACTCTGCTGTGCGGCGGGAGTAGCAGCTAGAAGTCGTACTACCCAGAATTGGCGCTCAGAAAAAAATTCTTAAATGATGTAGCAGACAGGACAGGGGAACCCAAGGAACACAATTTGAACATACAGTCCTCTTCGTTCGTATGTCTGAAAGTTCATAAGTTGAAAGTTTGTACAGTAAGTAGAGGAGTGTCTGTATATCCTAGACCTACTGACCATGTTGTTGCCATTTCTTTATTCCGTTGATTGTTACTTTCTAATTGGATGTAGGACTGAACTGTATTTACACCCAGAGGTTACTATCCTTTTTCGGTCAGCATTTGCAAGATACAAAATCAGCTGTACAACAGAAACATAGAAATAGATATTGATATAGATCTGACCCAAGAAAGACATAATCTGAAAGAATATCCTGGTACCTCTGAGGCAGATGTTTTTCTTGGCAAAAAAAAAGACAATGCCAAAACTTGACATACATCGCTCACTTCAACTGTTCAACTGCACACTGCAAACAATCTGAAAATAACACACTGGAATATAGCTTGAATACTACACAAACAATGTATTCTGTGGTTTTGTCTTGGGAACTGAGCGCGGTGAAAAATGCCATAGGGAGAATATGTTGCTGTAAACCACATCAATTTTCTAATTAAGATAACTTTTTTCCGGCATACCAAAGGAAACCACTTGACCACGCCTTCCCAAAGAAGAAATCCACTTGTGTGTACTGTGCTAAAATTTACAAATAAGAAAAGAGCAGTCAGCAGCCGCCTTCAATTGACCAGAAACTTCTAAGCCTTGCCCAACAGCAAAAACACACGTCAGAATAAAAATATCACTTGAGAATAATCAGAAAGGAGTGAAATACATTATTGTTACATTTTTGTAGCAATGAAGAATAATGCTTTTCATGCTAATCTGTGGCCCGACCAAACCATGTAAAGTTTAATTAACTCCAATTTAACAAACAGGTGTCTGGAAAAATATGCCTTTGATACAGACCAGCACAGTTCATAAGGTGTAGTGGCATCAATGATCTTATTTATTTGAAGAAAGACAGAACACACTGGGAAAGCAAAATACAGTGTGAGAAACTGGAATGTTTCAAGGGGAGCGTACAAAAAAACGAGGATGACAGGATCAATGCTCAAAAGCATGTATAGATAACATAATAGTCTCTATGTCATCAGAAAAAAAAATGTTAATCATCTAAAGAACTGAAGAATCGAAGACAGATTATATAGAAATGACAGGAAAGGCAAACAGGAAACTAGACAAAAAAAAATCACCAACTAACTGCTTTTATGTGGTCTGCTCCAAGATACTGTAGTCCCTCTACAGATTCAAATTAATTTCCCCGCTGATAAATCCAATTAAAATCTGTCGAGTCAATACATTTCCCTTAAAAAAACAGAAGTATTTGCATGAGACTGTAGTATCTTGGGGCAGAAATGACACCCTCTTCGGCAAAGTTTACTAGGCTAAGTTTACTTTCCTCCAAAGCTGAAACATTAATCAGCATTTCACACGAGCCTTTAACATGATATGTTAAAAACTAAACTGTATTACTATAATTCATAGAAAGTTGATTTTAGTGTTCATTTGATATTTTTTCTCTCATTGATTCATTTTATCCAACTACTATACCAAATGCAATCTGCACTAATAGCAGGGAGAAAAAAATACGGAAATATAAGAAATTAGAATATCAACTCACTGGCTGAATTGATTGTAATTTTTCTCTGTAATAACGGTTAAAAATGACAATATTCATCTTTACACCTCAATCTGATATATGAATATACACCACTAATGAGGAGTTAAAACAGCTTCACAATCCATGCTTAAAGAAAATATGTAAACAAGGTACCACTTGCACCATTATGGTGGTAGCAGGGGAAACACACACTTCAGTAGTGCTCACAATACTCATTTTACTGAACCAGAAACAGAAGTAATTATGACAGAAAAAACAAACAATTATATAGTGGAACGCTGCAAAACTATTAAGATAAGAAAAAAAGTAAATACTATATACTCGATATGCAGAAAGGAATCGGAGAAAAAAAGTTTCGTGTTGGACCTTAAATAGTCCAAATATGTGAAAACCACTGAAAATGGAAATAGATCTGCTGTAACCACCCCCCCCACCCACCCACTCACCTCATACAGGGGCCTGCTGACCCCTGATCTCACTTAAATCCGACTGAGCAGAGCAAGTGATCAAGCTCTGCTTTCACAGATAACGATCTGGTTGGCAGGACTCGTTGATACAATGGCTCGAGTTCTGAAGCCTTAACCAAGCATTAGATCAGATAAGATACACTAGGGACCGTCGATTAGATATGGATAGTGTTTCAGCTCCCATTTATAGAACTGCTAATTGTCTGCTTGGACTGCAAAGCATGAGCTCACAGATGGCTCTGCCCATGCAGAGAAATCCTCAGTGACACAAGAAATTTCAATAGTACAGACTGGGGGGAAAAAATGACCTCGTTCAATCCTTTTAAAATTCCTTGATCCCATTTTGTGCATGTCTGGATCAAAATTCTTCATTTAATTGGTTTGATTTTTTTCCCCTCCCCCTTTTGCCCAGGGCTGCATGGAATGATTACACCAATCATGTCATAGTATGTGCAAAGTGGATCTTTGGGGTTAGGAGTGTGTCACTGTCTGGTTGCGCTTCTCAGGATATGGTTGGTCACCTTTTGCTCACATGATGGAAATGCTCCCTGTCAGCACACTAAAGTAATAGCCGTGTCTCACTGACTGGGCCGCACACAGTTTATCCTTACAGCTGTATTTATAGTTATTCAAACTGAGGTGCTTGGGGCTACATAATCCCATCAGTCGGCTGTCATGAAAAATGGATAAATCAGAGAAATGTGATAAACTTAGTTATGAAGGGAACAACACAGAAAGAATAGGGGTCCTTATTTTCATCAATATACATTCCACGAAATTCAACTAATAAGATGAAATGCTATGTAAAACATCCATAAATATATTATGAAACTTACCTCCTCCACCACCCAGAAGAGTAGAGTTTGCTGCGGGGAAAACAGAAAGAAGAGGATGAGCACTTATTGACTTTGTAACTGCTTATATTCCTTTGTATATCAACAAGCAAATAACCTTTAGAATAAATAAAACTATTCAGAAATATAGCTTTCTGAAAACTTGGTTTCACAGGTTCTGTAGTATTCAGCGTTAATTGCTGCATCTGCAGGAACCTATGGGGCACTAAACGTTGGGGAAAGGATGCAAAGCCAGGACAGTAAAGCCAGACACTCTGTTACGTTCATTGTATGACATGAGAGCAGGGTATGAAGGTTTGACAGTAGCCTACAGGTAACCAATTTGGTATTCAGGCTCCAAGGATCACTTGCATGAGCTGGAGAAGTTCTTGGACATCTAAACAGCATGTAATCTGCATGTAATTACTGTCTTTTAATTATATGCACAGTAAGAAGTTAATCGTATCCCAGCCGTTTTCTTTGTTTGCAACAAGGTAGCAAATGCACAAAAATATCTGCTCCCGTTCATGAGTGGGAGAATAACTCCTGACATCTACACTGTAAATTCACCAGCGCATCACAACCTCAAAGACAGTCTAAATGATTCCCGAAGATCTCATTAAACACAGCACATTGTAAGTCAGCTCTTCATTACCTGCACAAGCTTTCCCCTATAGGACAAAGAATTGTCTGGAATTCAAATCTGACCATTACTTGGAGTTACTGCAAAGGAGACATGTATTTTTCCCTTGGTTCATGAACAGACCACTGTAAATGGTAATTAACAAGAAATATTCTACCAGACTATTCCTATAAATGACTGCCAATCATCATTCCTGTAAAAAACAAAGCATAAACTTTAGCCTAACTTTGCCTAAAAAGTTACAAAACTCATACTCAAAGTTTTTATCAGACACAGTACACGGCCATTAAAATAACAATCCCGTTCAAATACTACATACAAACAATACAACTGTACAAAAATATATGAGGGGCAGCATGGTGGTGCGGTGGTTAGCACTGTTGTCTCACACCACTAGGACTTGGTTTTCGAGTCTTCACCAGGGTTCCATGTGCGTTCCATGTTGTCCCTGTGTTGTTGTGGGGTTTCCTCCAGGTACTCTGGTTTCCCCCCACAGTCCAAAATCATGCTGAAGATAATTGGAGTGACTAAATTGCCCATATGTATGTGTGTGTGTGTGTGTGTGGGCGCCCTGCAATGGGTTAGCACTGCATCCTGGGTTGTGCCCTGCCTTGAACCCTCAGCCTCTGGGATAGGCTCCAGACCCCCCGCGACCCTGAATAGGATAAGCAGTTTCAGAAAATGGATGGATGGGAAAATGTAAGATAAAAAAAAAAATCACCTTCACACCCCTCCTAAAAAGTCATTTTCATGCAGTCCATTATTAAAGAATATGGAGTGACCAGTGCCATTTAAAATGTTCAGTGAGGATGCACATTATATGACCTCATGATAAATGTCTCAATTCTTTAAAACAATCCACACTGTAACTGCAATTCAGCTCAAGAGGATCAGCCCGTGCTGAACATAGGCGAGCATCTTGTAGAGACTTGCATATCAAGACAACATTTCAATCACCAGTCTAAGAATAGTTATTTAATCAAGGACTGATGTACATAATATCAAAGACCAGAGTTATTCTTCACTATGGTGATGGAATGCCCATGTCCTGAGTGGTCGCCCAGTTCCTCTGGAATTAAAAGCAGTGAGGTCTAATTACCTGACATTATGGAAATGCACTACAGAGTTGCGGTTAATTTATTCCACTCTCCACAGCAGATAATCGGAGAATAAAAGCCTTGGAGGATAATCAATTTGACACCATTATAATATCTGCAAAGATGTAGAGAGTCCAGAATGGATGAGAGCAGACAGTCCCTTATTGCTGAACTTTATGCAAGAGCATGGCGATGAGGAACGAGCAGGAAACTATAAACTATTCATTTAATCTCAGCAGGGTCTTCTGAAGAAAATGTGCATTGCACATTACATGCTGCATCTTCTGCAAGCTAATCAATTCTTTTATGGACATATATCAGACTGAAAGTGTATTATATACCGGTGCAACTTCAAACACCATTCATTACAATTCATCGTTCATTCTTGTCTCCTGAACGCAGTGCTTACCTATCCAGAGTAAAAACAAAATGGTGTACAAGAAGCCTGGAAGCACAATAAATCCCAACTAGAAATGGAATTTGCTTTTCCCACTGAGTGGGGGCTGTACGCAGTGGGGCAAATAACCTGAGCCACAGATTTTCTCACAGGCAGGTTAGTGTCCATGAATGTATTCCTGTGCACTTCTGCCACAATAAACCCAGTGAGCTAAGTCTGGTCGGCCTTTAGCCACTCAAGGACACATCTTCATCTGTGAAGCCCTGGGCATGCATGACCTTCCTTAGAGAGAACTTTCCTGGGAAAGAAAAATGAGGAGATGCAAATTTCGTTTCTCCCCCTTGTTAAAATGCACTACACTCTGGGGCCTGTACTTTAACATATCATGGCACTGATGGGCACATTTCTGCCAGAGACTCTATATAGGGTCGACAACAGTAATTCAGACTCAAGCTGCTACAAAGCAACCCGGTCAAATAGCAGACTGGGTCATTTGCACCACTGTTTTGGCTACTGCAGGCACTAGCATATCAGATGCATTCAGAGGGATTTCCATTGACACATTTTTAAAGCATAAGCACATCTGGCAGTGGAAAACAACAACAACACCTTTCAAATCCTGCCATTTTTTCCCAGTTCTAAAATCTCAGCCAAAACAGAAATACAGAAAATTCATTACACTACACTAGGTAACATCAGCTCTGTCTACAAAAAACTCTGAAATTAAAACAACAAATCATTGTTTTCAGTCCCATTTTATTTTTTTAAGGCCAACAATACTTCACATCTACACACATACAAGGGGATGGCTCACAGGAAACCACACTCATCCATGACATGTGTGCACAGGAGGTTGAACACAGACCACATCCTTTGTCATGCAACTCATTTCCCTCACAGCAGAGCACATGGGTCAAAACCAGAGATGTACCAGAACACATTGAAGCCCATGTACACGAAGACTATTGGCACTATTCCACTGGCATACAGGAACCGAGGCGTACCCGAGCCGTACTGCAAAGAAAGACTAGTTACAGTGTGGTTCCAGCTTGCACCGGTTTTCCCCTGTAGCAGAGTTGGCTGAGTAAAGGAGATGCTGGGATGGAGAGCAACAGTGACATAAAACCAAAGAGGTGCTTTTTCACCGTTCACACGGTGTACGTCATGATTTAATATGCACTAATTTCCACTAACATGCCTGTGAGAATCGCTGTCTTATATTAGCATCAAACTCTAGCTGAATTAGCATTCACTTGAGTGTTCTGTAGTACTTTCAGTAGGTTCCGAGTTATCGGGAAAGCAGGGCCATGTCAGCATGGGTTCAGCCCGGTTCTTGGTGCCATATGTCATTAGCTTCAAAACAGAGAAGAATGGAGTCTACTGAGATAAGCACTCTTGTGGTATCTGGTAGAACAGGCTCCCTTTGTTTATCCTTTGAGGTGCGACTGTTGGAAACTAGGTGGCAGAAAGAGAGGAAGACCAGTAAATCGCCACCTCATTATTCCCAAGGCTCTCAGAAAGACAGTGAGTCATTAGTAAGCGTCACCCGACAACATTAAGCTGTGGCCCCTCACGCCTGCTTTTACAGATGCTGCTGGTTACCCCATTTCCTGTTGCCCCTTTGAACTTGCCGGACACCATAATGTGAAGCCGTTGCCTCAGCCTGCCCCGGGGCTGGCTATCATTGGAGACACACAGAGGGGACTACTGTGTTGTACTGAGACAAAGTAACAGGAAAGTTTTTATATATATATATATATATATATATATATATATATATATATATATATATATGTATATATATATATATATATATATATATAAACACAGCCTTTTTGCATTAATGTTTTCTTTTTTATATAAGATTGCTATATAAAACAGCTCTATCAGCTTCCCCCAGCTATATAGAAGATAAAGACAGTTTGCATTTCAGTTCATTGTATTCGTCATACTGTAATCGCTGACTGAAGACTAAATCAAAACTGAAAGTGGTATTCAAATGAGCAACCCAAATTAAGCAAAGGTCAGGAACAGGCATGTGGGCACTGGAGCACCCAGGGAGATCGTTCAAAGTCCACACACACAGAGGGTTATTCCTGCTAGAGCCTCCATGGCATAAAACAGGAAGACATTTTGATATGCATTTAGGATTCCTCATATTAGAACTGCAGCTCTGATTTCAGCTTGACCTCAGTGTTATGAATTCCACTGTCCACAAGCTTAGTAAACTGAAAACAATCTTCAAAGCCATGCTGTAAACAAGTCCTATGCCTTGTCCTATGCATAGAGCCCACTAACAAGCTTTGGCATTTGTAAAACAGCTTTATAATCTGTATACTATAAATCACAATTTAAAAATGCCATCATTTACCAAAAACTACCAAATCAGATGCAGATTGTATGAGACATGCAGTAAAACGTCCTTTCATTCAAATCCAGAACTATCGATAAAACACCCTGGCTGTGGGCTGACCGGACAGAGCCCCTTTGCAGGTAACTGCAATGCCTATTCACACTGATCCATGCAAAGATGTACTCAGAAACGATGGCCAGGCACAGACATTAAAAATACATGTAGCTTCTCTGTGAAAAGCCACAACCAAAGACGGTGTCTCCTTTGCTATTTGTCATGGCCTAGAAGCGCTCATGGGAGAGCTCATTGTGAAGACAGCCAGAGTGATCACCCCCCCACAACCACCATTCATAGCTACTTTCATGCTGTAGCAGGGTTCTGGGTCAAAAAGCATCACTGTCCCAGCCACGATGTGCTATTGCAGCGTCTCATTTGGTACTGAGCTAGTCTCCATCTTGCTGAGAGAACGGTTCATGGGTCATCACCTTCTCTGGAGCACTTCCTTACTCACCCATGTAAACAGCTACATATACAGTGTTTTATTGTG